ATTCATGCTGAGGTTTGACAGAAAACAACAAAATTCTGTAAAACAATTATCCTTCAATAAAAAATAAATTAACTTTAAAAAAAATAATGTTGGTGAAAAATCTGGCCTAAAATTCAACATTAAAAAAATCTGGCTTTCCATTCACTCCTTTCCTGCAGGCTCCAGGGATTTAGCCCTTATTCTAATCCAGATGTTCCCACTGACTCAGTTGTCTGAATTTCTTTCTCCACAGGGATGTCACAGACCTGGACCAAAGAAATGCTAAAGTCTATGTTCAGAATCAAACGAGGTTAGGTGCTTTGGCTTCTTTTATGGTAGCTCAGTTGGTAAAGAATCCTCCTGCAATGCAGGAGATCCTGGTTCGATTCTTGGTCAGGAAGATCAGCTGGAGAAGGGATAGGCTGCCCATTCCAGTATTCTGGCCTGGAGAAATCCATGGTCTGTATAGTCCATGGGGTCACAGAGTTGGACACGACTGAGTGACTTTCACTTTCACAAATAAAATAGGACTTCTCTGGCGGCTCAGACGGTTACGGTAAAGAATCTGGTTGCAATGCAAGGGGTTCCATCCCTGGGTCGGGAAGATCCCCTTTAGAAGGAAATGGCAACCCACTACAGCATCCTTGCCTGGAGAATTCCATGGACAGAGGAGTCTGGAGAGCTACAGTCCATGGGGTCACAAAACCATAAGTTTTATTCTCTGGAGGTATCTTTGAGCTCACTGAGTAGACTCTATGAGCCAAGTTCACCTTTCTGATTTGTAAAAAAAAAAAAATTCATGGAAGAAAGTTATCATTGAAATTAAACCGTGGCAGACATGACCAAAAAACATTGTAGAGATTTGATCCTTGATTCATGAGGTAGATGAATGTGTAGAGATGGCAACTAGTGGGCAACAGAACACTATCAGAAATAGGTAATATGAATAGCATCATCATGTTAGAAGACTTCCAGCGTTTATGTTGCTGTGTTCACCAGAGAAATTGATTGCTTCTACACATCCCCTCTCCAGCAGGTTTTACTATGATATAAAAATCGGGCTGTGTATATTTTCTTTTCAAACTTTTTAAAAACTGCTTTTCCTTCCACCTGGGAAACCCCAATGGCTCAAAAGGTAAAGAATCTGCCTACAATACAGGAGACATGGGTTCAACCCCTGGATCAGGAATATCTCCTGGAGAAGGAAATGGCAACCCACTCCAGCATTCTCACCTGGAAAATCCCATAGACAAAGGAACCTGGCGGGCTACAGTCCACGGGGTCAGAGTCAGACACAACTGAGCAGTCACATGCGCACATTCTTGCCACCATACAACACCCCTTCCTTAAAGCTCTGAAGGGCACATTCTGAATTACAACCAGTCTTCTTTCTTGGACATCATCCATTAATCCTAATCTTCTCCCTTGAGGCCATCCATCCAGTAATCTTCAAATAACTTTGTCTTGCTTGAGTCTTTGATTCTTTGGGTTTGACATTGTTTTAGAAGTTTCTATATGACAGTTTTAAGTTCCTTCACCATGCATATCACTTTCTATGAACATATTCTATTTGTTTGTAAATCATCTTAAAAAGTTTTGACACCTAAAACAGAACTTCATATAGGGTTTTAGCACTATCAGCAAAGAGTATCTCTGCTTCTAGACATGCTACATTTTTCCAACTTTATACATGAAGAATTGGTTTTGCAAGTCCAAAGATACAATTTTACACTATTATTGAACTTCTAAGATGAAGTTTATCATTCCTGCCTATTGAGATCTTTTTGTATTCTCATTTTGCCAACTAATGAAGCTGTTCTAGCTCCTTATTACCCACAAATATGATGTGCCTTGTTTGCCACCTGGGTCACTGGCACAGTGACATTATCTTTCATTCCAGAAAGTGGCACTCACAAGCCCTACATTTTACCAAGAGCTTCACAGCTGCTAGTCTGTACTGTTGGGGCATCACAATTCAGAGAAAACCCCAAGTGTCATTGTTCTCCCCTAACCCTCACACACACACCTCTACAGGGAAAATTAAATTGTCTCCAGTTCCTTTTTCATGCAGGGTCACTGTGAGCAGAACATACGCTACCCAGCTTCTTCTGAAGCTGTCCTGAACCCCAGATCTACCCTCGCCTAGGTTCCTCAGCATTTCTGTGCCTCTTTTTCCCAATCTATGAGATGCGGATAGCAGTAGTATACAGTAACTTCATGAATGATAGTTATTATTCAACAAGCCACTGGGGAATTCCCTGGCTGTCCAGTGGTTAGGGCTCAGGCTTTCACTGCCATGGGCCGAGGGTTCAATCCCCGGTTGGGGAACTAAGATTCCACAAGCTCCAGTGTGGCCAAATAAAGAAAAAAATTGCAAATTCTTCTTCTTAGAAAAGTTCCATTTCATACTAGGTTTTTACAGTCAGTACCAAGGAAGGGACAACTTTTAAAGTACAAGTTGTACTTTCTTCATTTATCTCCTTTACTGAGCTGTCCCGTGCCCCAGCATGCAGAAATGGACCAATCCATTTCCCACTTTCCCCACCACCTGATCTGCAAATCCTGTTAATACAGGGACAACAAACACATCCTTAATGTTCAATCATTTTATCTCTAATCAGGTTGTGTCCATGTATAAAACACTAATCTCTATGGAATCACCCTGTTCTCCAACCCCAAGCCTCCTTTTAATATAGATTATATTCATTTGAAGCATTACCATTCAAGTACAGTCTAATGGTATGTTAAAGTGAAGTGTCCAACTCTTTGCAACCCCATGGACTGTGGCCTGCCAGGCTCCTCCATCCATGGGATTCTCCAGGCAAGAATACTGGAGTGGGTTGCCATTTCCTTCTCCAATGGTAAGTTAAACTGAAATCTAACCACCAGATTCTGTAGAAGGATATCCCTGGTATCTTACATAAAAGACCACAAGGAAGATTATTGAATGTTGAAGTCATTCTGAGAGTCCCAATTCTTTAAAGCTAGAACTTCAGGATTTAAACAAACTCAATGTGAAAAATAAACATTTATTACAAAAATTAGTTTTAACATTCTAAAATGAAAACAGATAAGGTGTCTTCCAACTCAAAGGGGCTGCTGTTAGCTGGAGAAGTAAATCCCAAGGCTGGTAATCACTGACTCATACACAAGTGACCTAGGGAGTGACGGGCCATTTGCTCCAGACTTGCAAGAGCAATGATTCACCTCTGCCTCCCTGTGCCCTTTACCCACCCTCCCTCCCCCCATCCTTCCCACCCTGTCTCCCAACCAGGAAACTGAAACACACTTTGAAAATTTCATTCGTACTGAACCGTTTCACAATCTCTACCTTTAGTGCCTAATTAGATTTTATTTCCATCTGGACAGCTTACTTTTTATTGGTGCGTGACGATATGATTTGTTTTTTGTTTTTCCTTCTGAACCCTCGATGAAAACAAAACTCAGTTCTGGGAGGGATTGTCAGATAAGGGTACAGAATATGGTGAAATGGTGCTCGGTATCCTCAAAAAATTAGCAAAATCAATCCTAGAAGATCCCTTATTTGCCCTCTTGCTAGTTAATAAATAGACTGCTGGGGAAAGGGAGGAATAGATTCAAGGGCAAAGAAGGGTCCAGATGGGATGAGGAAAGCAGGGACAGGCGTGTCTACCCCACTCTCTCCTGCTCTCACTTACACCTATCCTCTAAATAAAGTAGTAGTAGACTTTACTGCTAAGTCACTTCAGTCATGTCCGACTCTGTGCGACCCCATCCCTGGGATTCTCCAGGCAAGAACACTGGAGTGGGTTGCCATTTCCTTCTCCAATGCATAAAAGTAAAAAGTGAAAGTGAAGTCGCTCAGTCATGTCTGACTCTTCGCGACCCCATGGATTGCAGCCCACCAGGCTCCTCCGTCCATGGGATTTTCCAGGCAAGAGTACTGGAGTGGGGTGCCATTGCCTTCTCCGGGTAGACTTTAAACTACTACTAAAGAAGTGGTTCTCCAAAGGATTTGAGAAATCCTGCCTCAGCCTCTGGACCAGCTTTTCCTGTAGCCTCTGGGAAGTCTACTAGTGCATCTGGGTTGGCAGAGGTGGGAGGGCGGGCTTCTTTCACTGGATGAGTCAGATCAAGTGGAACCCAGAGCCCAGCATCCCTTCACCCAGGGGCTCTCCTCCTCCCCCAAGAGGACTCTGGAACACTCGAGTTCAACATAGAGCTAAGATCACAAACACACACACACACTCACATGCTCAGCAGAACTGACTGCTACACAAATTTCCATAACCCTGCAGACATATCTTATAAGGGCAGGTCGAGTTGTTCCAACCAAGAGAAGGGTGATAGCTTGAGCTACCCACTCCAGCTTTCATTTCTGTAGATCAGTGGTTTAAAAACTCTTCTCTCCGTGTGTTCTGAAAGTTTACTAGGCTTCCCACAAAAAAAAAGTTCTTGTTTTCCCTACAGACGTAGCTGTCAGTCTGCTTGTGTTCGGGAAGAGGATGGTGCAGGAGGATCCCAGCGGCACTTCCCATGGAAGGCAGAAGGAAGTGGGCTGCAGAGGTGGAAGAACTTGACATTGTTTCCAAACAACCATTTCAGCTGCTCCCAGTCTCCAGCCCCGACTCTAGGACAGCTGTTACCCATCCTCAGCACGGCAGGGAAGAGTCAAGAAGACAGGCTCCAGAGCCCCATCTGAGAACCACTACATGCAGGGGGCAGTGAGGACCCCACTGCTCTTGTGGTCTACTTGTGGTCAGCAGGCATCAGTCAGGACTTCTCTCTGATCCCTTGTAGGGCTGGAACAAGAAGGCTTTAAACAAGTCCCAGGCCACTCAGCAGTGGTGGGAAAGGAAGGGAGGCAGGAAGGTGCACATGGCTGAAATTATTACAAAACACAACCTAAGATAAAAGTGGGGGCCCCTGATGGGGTTCAAAGACAAATAAGGCATCCTGTGAAACTATAGACATCAGGGGCCAGAGTCTGGTAGCACCTGAGTAAGGCAAGCACTGAGGACAGGAGAGAAGCCGGACCAGGGTCACACCAAGAAGGACGAGGTCTGCCTGAACTCCCCCTGGAGAAATAAAACATCCAAGTCAGCTCTCTACAGTCTGCTTCAGCTGCTAGATAATCCCCAGAATACATGCAAACACAGGCTGGAAACCCCCGACTCCAGCCAAGGGGCCCTCCCCACCCAGGGCAGGCATACTCACTTCACTTCGAGCACTGGGCTGGCTGTAAATGACCTTCTTACTGGAGGTCCTAAGACAAGGCAGAAGATAGAGACACTCAGTCCCAGCCCCTCTCCTTAACCTCCGCTCACTAACATTAGAGGCCAGGACTGAGAACTGCACGGGCGCACGGAGCTCTCAGTGGGGAGGTTTGGGTGGAGGCAGAAAGGACAAGCGTGGGACCGCAGTGGACAGTGGTAGAAATCCAGATGTTCTCCCCACCAGGCTGGTTGCCTCCCCCTTCCAACCTCTTCCCCTGGACACATCTCAGCTTCAAACCATACACAACCATGACCTCAACCTCAGAGAGCCCCTGGACAGCAGCTCACGCACCCTTTCTTTGCTCCTGAAAGACAAGAAACGGGACCATGAGTGTCAGCAGAGTAGAAGGCAGCATGGCACAGGAAGATGGGGAACCCAGTGTGTGGCCCTGAGACATGGGGACCCACGCTTCCCGGGAGGTAGCCCAGCACACAAAGGCTCAGTACCAGGTTGGCACTCAAGAACCAGGCCCTGAAACAGGGAGGATCCACCTTTGAGGGCAAATACTTACTGTCGAAGTAGCCTCGGCTATAGGTGAACCAGATGCCAAAAATCAAGGCTCCCAGGAGAATGAGTGTTACGAGGACAGCTGCCACGATGCCCCCGACATTGAGCTCCACTATGGGACACAAGAGAGAGGTCAGGCACCTGAATACGCCTTCACTGCACTGACAGCGCCACCAAGGCCAGGATGGAAAGCAGACCCCAATCCCCACCCAGATCCGAGCTCAAGCCCCAGCCACACCCTCACTCACCAGCATCCATGTGCACAATGTCTGACCTCATGGGTGACTCATAGCCATTCTGTGCCTCACAAGTGAAATCTCCAGTATCAGAGGCCGACACGGGATCAAAGGTCTAGAGGGCAGAAGATGAATTGGCTTCCTGCTTGAAGAAGTCACTTACTTCTCTTTTATGTCTCCTGACCCTCATGCCAAAGTTACCTTGTTGCTTGCTTTTTCCCACCTTCAGAGCTTCTATAACCCTGCACCCCATCACACACACCTTTTACCCCAACCCCATCTACACTGCCTGCAATGCAGGAGACCAAGGTTTGATCCCTGGGTCGGGAAGATCCCCTGGAGAGGGAAATGGCAATCCACTCCAGTATTCTTGCCTGGAGAATTCCATGGACAAAGGAGCCTGGCAGGCTACAGTCCACGGGGTCGCAAAGAGTCGGACATGACTGAGCAGCTAACAAACACACATCCGTACCAACTCCCCTGTCTTGGGGTTCAGGGTATAGGAAGAGTTGCTGAAGGCTCGGTTGCTCTTGGGTTCCAAGGGCATCTCTACCCCATCCTTGAACCACTTGTATTCAGACGGTGGGGAGCCGTCTTTCTCTGAGCAGGTCAGCACTGCTCGGGTTCCAATGGTAACAGAAGAGGGGACGTTGATCGTAGGCTTGGACGGAGGCACTGGGGACGGAGAGAAGGGACTGGTCACAAGGGTGGGAGGGCGGCCTGAAGGCAGAAGCATGACACCCCCATCCATCAGCTCTGGCCTTCCTCCCTTCCTGAGCCCTTAGTTTCCCCCTGCTTATCATTCTCTGGCAGCACCAGGACTGTGAATACCCTCCTCCCTGCCCCACCCGCAACCTGCCATGAGCATGCTCACTATTGGTGAGCTCTGAAGCTTAGCGGAGCCTGCTAAGGGTTTAGGGAAGCAGCCGGCTGCAAACCCACACAGACCTGTGGCACGTACCGAGCACGATGAGCTGGACGGTGACCTCCCCATAGGTGTTGCCGCCTTCGTCAGAGACCATACAGGTATACATCCCCGTGTCTTTCCGCGTCACAGAATGGAAGGTGATGCCACTATCCGAGAAGGTGACTCGGTTCTCATAGGAAGCTGCCAGGAGAGAGGAAGCAGGGGCAGAGAGAGCTGGAGAGCTGAGAGAAGCTGGTGACAGTAGTACCCAAGGCACAGGGGCTCCCTTCCTCCCCCAGCAAGGACAATGGGAAGGCCCTGGAGACTTGAGCCCCAAGGTGGGCCCCTCCCCTGGAATCCAAGCACCACGAATCCGTCTACAAGTAGGCGGTCAGCAAGGAGATGGAGCGACTCACCTGTGATTTTGTTGTTATAGCAAACGAGACCTCTGATATCCCCATGGGTAAACTTCCACTCCACACGGGGAGAGGAGAAGCCCGAGTAGGAGCAGGACAGCTTGGCAGCTGCAGACAGAATCCAAGTGAGTGGGAGGAAGGAGCAGCAGTAAACGGACCCAAAGCACCACGTGGGTTCGATGTCCCCCAAAGCTCTGCCCCTGCTCACCTCCCTCTCACCCCAGCCCCCACCATCCCCCGCAGCCCCTCCCAACTCACGTCTATTCTCAGGAACTTTGACTACCGGTTCATAAGTTTGCACCGCACCCCTGCCCAACGCCAGGAAGCCTGAGGAGAAGAGAGGTAGGTCCGTCAGGAGGGGACAGAGAAATGCCAGGGAAAGGGAAGAGCAGTCCCAGCTGATGGAGTATCTGGAGCCGGGACCCTCTGTGCTGAGATCTCAAGGTCAAGGGATTCAAGAGATCCAAACTCCTCTCAGATTTCACACCCTCCCACCGTCTTCTTCAAATGTTTTTTGCTAAACTGCAGGCCAACACTTGTTTAATCAATTTGCAACAAAAACATTTATTTCTAAGGCAATGTCCTTCATTTAAAAAAAAAAAATTTCCCGCTGTGACTACCAATAATCTAATTAGTTCCTACCAGTCCAAGAACAATTTCCCAAATGACATTTCATGGTTCAGAGAAAGCTTCTCAGCAAATAATTGTTGTCGCTTGTCAGACAATCCTGGCAGGAAGCCAGAAAGCTGGAGGCAAGGGAGGGAAGAAAAGGAGCAGTAATAGGGTAATAATACTCAGCATTTGGAGGGCACTTTGTGCTTTTTAAGGTGTTTTCACATACATTACTTCGTTTGATCCTTGAAACAAGTATGACAGATCAGCGGGACAAGTATTATCATCCCAGTTTTACATGAGGAACTAAAGTAAAGAAACATGTGTAAGATCACACAGCTGGTTCTGGACCAGAAGTGGGCTTAGATCACCTCAAGAGAATCTCAATCACTGGGTCGGGAAGACCCCCTGGAGAAGGAAATGGCAACCCACTCCAGTATTATTCCTTGGAAAATCCCATGGACAGAGGAACCTGGTGGGCTACAGTCCATAGGGTTGCAAAGTCGGACATGACTGAGCAACTTCACTTTCACTCTTGCCCAAAGGAAAAGGGAAAGAAAAGGTGTGTGTGGTGGGGTTGAGAGAGGAGGTGAGACAGGCAGTAGGTTCACAGGAGGGGCTGACACACTCCAAAACAAGCGCCAGCACAAGGACTCTGGGATGGTGTGATCCAGTTACCAACCTGCACTTGCACAGTTACTCTCAATTATGCTTTCCAAGCCCAAACTGATGAAGGATGCTTTAGTCAAATCCTGTCTTTCTTAGATAAATGCAAGCACATCCGTTCAATGCAAGTATATTTTTCCTTCTCATATAACTGAATATGCAAAAGTAGGAAATCAAGAGATACCTGGAGTAACAGGCAAGTTTGCCTTGAAGTACAAAATGAAGCAGGCAAAGGCTAACAGAGTTTGGCCAAGAGAACTCACTGGTCATAGCAAACACTCTCTTCCAACAACACAAGAGACAACTCTACACATGGACATCACCAGATGGTCAATATCAAAATCAGATTGATTATATTCTTTGCAGGCAAAGATGGAGACGCTCTATACAGTCAGCAAAAACAAGGTTGGGAGCTGACTGGGGCTCAGATCATAAACTTCTTATTGCCAAATTCAGACTTAAATTGAAGAAAGTGGGGAAAACCACTTCAGACCACTCAGGTATGACCTAAATCAAATCCCTTATGATTATACAGTGAAAATGACAAATGGATTCAGGATTAGATCTGACAGACAGAGTGCCTGAAGAACGATGGATGGAGGTTCGTGACATTGTACAGCATTCCCCAAGAAAAAGAAATGCAAAAAGGCAAAATGGCTGTCTGAGGAGGCTTTACAAACAGCTGAGAAAAGAAGAGGTGCTAAAGGCAAAGGAGAAAAGGAAAGATATACCCATCTGAATGCAGAGTTCCAAAGAATAGAAAGAAGAGATAAGAAAGCCTTCCTCAGTGATCAGTGCAAAGAAATAGAGAAAAACAATAGAATGGGAAAGACTAGAGATCTCTTCAAGAAAATTAGAGATACCAAGGGAACATTTCAAGCAAAGATGTGCACAATAAAGGACAGAAATGGTATGCCCCCCCCTCCAAAAAAAAGAAATGGTATGGACCTAACAGAAACAGAACATATTAAGAAGAGGTGGCAAGAATACACAGAAGAACTATACAAAAAAGATCTTCCTGACTCAGATCACCACAGTGGTGTGATCACTCACCTAGAGCCAGACATCCTGGAGTGTTGAAGTCAAGTGGGCCTTAGGAAGCATTCCTACAAACAAAGCTAGTGGAGGTGATGGAATTCCAGTTGAGCTATTTCAAATCCTAAAAGATGATGCTATGAAAGTGTTGCACTCAATATGCCAGCAAATTTGGAAAACTCAGCAGCAGCCACAGGACCGGAAAAGGTCAGTTTTCATCCCAATCGCAAAGAAGGGCAATGACAAAGAATGCTCAAACTACCGCACAATTGCACTCATCTCACACACTAGTAAAGTAATGCTCAAAATTCTCCAAGCCAGGCTTCAACAGTATGTGAACTGTGAACTTCCAGATGCTCAAGCTAGATTTAGAAAAGGCAAAGGAACCAGAGATCAAATTGCCAACATCCACTGGATCATCGAGAAAGCAAGAGAGTTCCAGAAAAACATCTACTTCTGCTTTATTGACTACGCCAAACCCTTTGACTGTGTGGATCACAATAAACTGTGGAAAATTCTTAGAGATGGGACTACCAGACCCCCTGACCTGCCTCCTGAGAAATCTGTATGCAGGTTAAGAAGAAATAGTTAGATCCGGATATGGAACAACAGAATGGTTCCCAATCGGGAAAGGAGTACGTCAAGGCTGTATATTGTCACCCTGCTTATTTAACTTATATGCAGAGCACATCACGAGAAATGCCGGGCTGGTTGAGGCACAAGCTGAAATCAAGATTTCGGGGGGAAATATCAATAACCTCAGATATGCAGATGACACTACCCTTATGGCAGAAAACAAAGAACTAAAGAGCCTCTTGATGAAAGTAAAAGAGGAGAATGAAAAAGATGGCTTAAAACTCAACGTTCAGAAAACTGAGATCATGGCATGTGGTCCCATCACTTCATGGCAAATAGATGGGGAAACAATGGAAACAGTGAGAGACTTTATATTTTGGGGCTCCAAAGTCAGTGCAGATGGTGACTGCAGCCGTCAAATTAGAAGACACTTGCTCCTCAGAAGAAAAGCTATGACCAACCTAGATAGTTTATTAAAAAAGAGACATTACTTTGCCAAGAAAGGTCCCTCTAGTCAAACCTATGGTTTTTTCAGTAGTCATGTATGGATCTGAGAGTTGGATCTTAAAGAAAGCTGAGTGCTTGAAGAATTGATTCTTTTGAACTGTGGTGTTGGAGAAGACTCTTGAGAACCCCTTGGACTGCAGGGTGATGAAACCAGTCAATCTTAAAGGAATGAGTCCTGAATACTCATTGGAAGGACTGATGCTGAAGCTGAAACTCCAGTACTTTGGCCACCTCATGCAAATAACAGACTCATTTGAAAAGACCCTGATGCTGGGAAAGATTGAAGGCAAGAGGAGAAGGGGACGACAGAGGATGAGATGGTTGGATGGCATCACCGACTCGATGGACATGAGTTTGAGTAAGCTCCAGGAGTTGGTGATGGACAGGGAAGCCTAGCATGCTGCAGTCCATGGAGCTGCAGAGAGTCGGACACAACTGAGCGACTGAACTGAACCAATTACTGAATATAGTCTCTTGACCGCTGGGGTTCCCTTTTCTCATCTGAAACATGAAGGGTTTGAACTAGATAGTCTCTGAAATCCTCTAGGTTCTTTTTCCCATTTCTTTCTCTTTTCTTGTAATAAATATATTTCTACTCGGTGGCGCGGGGTCTTTGCTGCTACATGTGGATTTCTCTGACTGCTCTGAGTTGGGCTCCCTTCACTGTGCAGTGCACAGCCTTCTGTCAGAGGCACCTCTTGATGTGCAGCACAGGCTCTGGAGTGCAGGCTCAGTGGTTGGGGAACACGGGCTCAGGTGCTCCACAGCATTTGGAATCTTGCCAGATCAGGGATCAAATCCAGGTCCCCTCCCTAGGCAGGAGGATTCTTATCCATTGTACCACCAAGGAAGTCCCTCTTTCTTTCTTCCTTTCTTTTCTGACTTAAATATTTAGAGAGTATTTTTACGTAATTTATTTCAATTTGATACAACAACACTGAACTAGCCAGGCTAAGTATTCTCTCTCCCATTTTATAGATGAAAAAATTGCATGTCTAAAAGGTTAAGTGGAGGATCCAAGTTTTCATAGCTAGGAAATGACAGAGCTGTGATTAGCATACAGGTTACTCCTATACCTCCTTTATTATACCATACTTTTCATCTCCTTTATTATAGCATACTTTTATACATCATGCTGCTTTTAAGAAAAGCCACTGGTTTAATGCAGGCAGTGTTTCCCAGGTAGCCCAGTGGTAAAGAACCTGCCTTCCAATGTGCAGAAGACACAGGTTCTATCTCTAGGTCAAGAAGAGCCCCTGAAGGAGGCAAATAATGGAGTGGCAAACCACTCCAGTATTCTAGCCCAGGAGATCCCATGGACAGACAAGCCTGGAGGGCTACAGTTGGCGGGGTCGCCAAGAGTCATACACGACTGAGAACACACACCTTAACGGAGGCAAACTGTGTACTAAAATATGATTGCTTTAAAAGTCAGGTCCATTTTATCTCTAAATTATTTCTAATCATATTATTTTGTGTCTGTATATTTGGCACTACATTTCAAAGTCAAATCTATAATCAAATGTAACAACAGACACAGAAATTAAAGCACATAACCTTTACTAAATTGAAATCTGAGGATATGGAAGTTCTCTGATTCAGTTCTCATCAAGGATGCAGATAATAAAATGTTTTGATTTTTTGCCCAAGTCAACTTTCTCTGCTTTGATGATGGGAAATTTTTTTTTTTTTTAAAGATTCTCAAATTTTATAATTTGCTACCCGAGATGTGCACTGAGATACTCAAAACCAGATCTCTCTTCAGGAATGAAAGACTTGTCCTGGCTGCTGGCCTACTGCCAGAAGAAAGCCTGCAGCTGTCATCCCTCTCTGAGGCTAACCAGAACACCTGCCCAGGGGCATGCCTCCTGCCAGGCAGAACAGGGTCAGGGCAGCAGCATCCAATGCCTGATGGAGAGGAGGGGGTAGTT